AGCTTATCTGACTCAATCCAATCACGAGAGGATAAGGTCAACCCATTCTGGATACTCCTCCCCCCTCATTATGGAGAAATTTCAGCTCTTCAGCCATTCATTCATCCACTCACTAACTTACTTACTCACTCACTCCAATTCATGCAAGGTTTATGCCTCTTACCTTGTCTGCAGGTGTTAATCTTGCCCAGGGTTTATCAGCACGTCGATCATAATCTGGTGAATCTGTTACTTCCACATATTCATTAAATCGTAGGATTCTTCGCGCCTGAAGTTCAGCCACTGTTGGTCTCAAACTAAGCTGCAAAGAAGCAAATTTAATAAACTCTCTCCCAAAGAATCTGGAGGTTAGGGTTAACCTAATACAAACACCATCGACAGGACATAGAATTAAAAAAAAAATTAAACACAAAGGTAAAATGTTGATGAAGGAAATTCACTGATAGCTTCCACTTGATTCCACTTGAAAGACCTCATGCTGGTGAGAGAAAATAGTATCAACATGGCCTAAAACCATCATTTAGGTTTGATCCCATTTACAGGTAGTCCTCAATTTACAACCAGAACTGAGCCCAAAATTTATGTTGTTAAGTTAAAAATTTGTTAAATGAATTTTGCCCCATTTTACGACTTTTCCTGCTAAATTTGTTAAGTGAATCACTGCCATTGTTAAATTAGTGACACAGCTGTTAAGTGAATCTGGTTTCCCCATTTACTTTTTTTGTCAGGTCGCAAAAGGGGAACACATGACCCTAGGACACTGCAATCATCATAGAGGTGAGTCAGTTGTCAAGCAGCTAAATGAGAATCACATGATACTGCAATGGTCATAAGTGGGAAAAACGGTCATAAGTCACTTTTTTCAGTGCCATTGTAACTTTGAACGGTCACTAAAATAACTGTTGTAAATCGAGAACTACTTGTACTTTACATACTTTTTACACATGCTATATTTTTATTAGCTATTTTATGCCCATTTTATTTGCTCAGTGTTGAATGTTATACGTCTATACTTTGTAGGTGTTTCTGACATGAATAAAGAAAGAATTGACCGTTGTCTTACCTGAACGGTCCTTCTATGGGTGCTGCGAAGGGAATCCAATCATGGGTTAACTTAGCCCTTTA